TGGGCTCTTCCATTAAGAGCATAACCTATAAGATATATTTTTGAACTAGCTCAATATCCATACTAATAGACTAACTATACTTTTAAAGAATCTAAAGAATGGTTTGAAAAAGATAAAAAAGAACTTGGTCTAGATTTTCCTAACTTGCCTTACCTCATACATGGCGATTTTAAGATCACTGAAACTCAAAACATTATCAATTACGCTTTGGATATCACTAAATAACAAAATTTATAAGGATATGGACTAACAAGATATAAGGTAGATAATGTTAGATTCCTTTGTGATGAGCTGATTGCCAAAATCTTCTTAGCATCAACGAAAACAGGAGAAGAAAAGAAGGCTGAAATCAACAACTCTGTTAATCCTAAATTGAAGTATTTATAAGGTGCTTTAGGAAACAAATAGTTTTTCTTTGAAGACAAGTTAACTTTAGCTGATATCTATGTTTACACAGCAGTAAATGGATTGTAACATTTGTTGAATGATGAATACAAGTAATTCGTTTAAACTTTTGGTCCTTTTATGAAAAACTTTGAAGAAATTCCTTTAATTAAGGCTTACCATAGCTCAAACAGATACCCTAAATTATCATGATTATCTAAATAAATAATTTTGTTGTATGCAGACTGTTTTTTTATTGATTTTTTATGTGAAATAGTATATCACACCTGTAATATCATTTTTAAATACCTTGAATCACCATTAATTTTCACCATGTTTCCTAAAAAAGTACTAAAAAATTAATTTCCTATGAAATCCTAATTTAATTTTGTGAGAATTAGTGAGAAAAATTACAAAATATATGTATGTATATTTCTATTGTATGAAATAAATATTTAGTAGAATAAGAAATATTATTTTTAAAATTTTAAGAAAATTTAAAATAATAAAAAAAGTATCGAAATAGTTAGGTTTCGAACTTGAGCAAAGAAAAAAAATAAAAATGTTTAATTTGAAAGATTTATACAAATTGAGTTTATTGTATTTATTATTTTTAATCTATGTACCTAATGAAAATGTATGGTATCTAATTAATATTAAATAAATTAGATCATCATATTATGTATGAACTTACAATTATATAAAACTTTCATTAATTTTTTATAAATTTAGTTAAGAATATATTTTAATCGATAGTAAGGATAAATAAGTTAGTTACTCATAGTTTAAAATACTTTCTAATGTAAGTTTTACATTATCTTTTAATCTGTAATAATATTCATTCTACATGTATATTAATAAGTGATGCTATTATCAATATAATACATATATTTCTATTTTTTTTTC